CATTACTTCATTTTGTCCTCACAACAACCTTCTGAGGTAGTTACTCGTATCACTCCCATTTTACAGATGTGAAAACCAAGGCTCAGAATTAGGGTTAAGGTATTTAAGTCACAACTTGTGTAGATTCACAACTGTTTTTTTTTTTGGCTGTGTACAAGGGACTTTTGTTGATGGTACATGAAAAGGCAGGGCTCCCTAGGCCCCTCCCCTTCTTTAGGGGGTCTGGGATGGAAACTGTGCCAAAGAGCGGACATTCTCAGTGTGTTGGGGGACTGAGTTGGGACAGGGACTCCCCAGCAGCTGAGGGCCTCTCTCTTCCTCTTGTGTTCTCACCGGGGCTGGTGGTCCTGGGGGCTCTTACTCCTTGGCAGCCTGTTGCTGTAGCGATATTCATTGTCATACCAGGAAATGAGCTTGACAAAGTGGTCATTGAGGGCAATGCCAGCCCCAGCATCGAAGGTGGAAGAGTGTGCATCACTGTTGAAGTCGGTGGAGACTACTTGGTCCTCAGTGTAACCCAAGATGCCCTTCAGTGGGCCCTCCGATGCCTTCCTCACCACCCTCTTGATGTCTTCATACTTGGCAGCTTTCTCCAGACAGCAGGTCAGATCCACAACTGACACATTGGGAGTGGGGACACGGAAGGCCATTCCAGTGAGCTTCCCATTCAGCTGAAGAATGACCTTGCCCATGGCCTTGGCAGCGCCAGGAGACGCAGGAATGATGTTCTGTAGAGTCCCTGGCCGCTGCGCCACAGTTTCCCAGAGGTGCCATCCACCGTCTTCTGGGTGGCAGTGACGGTGTGGACTGTGGTCATGAGTCTCTCCATAATGCCAAAGTTGTCATGGATAACCTTGGCCAGGGGGGCTAAACAGTTGGTGGTGCAGGAGGCATTTCTGATGATCGTGTGGGTGTTTTCATAGCTCTCATGATTCACACCCATCACGAACATGGGGGCGTCAGCAGAAGGGGCAGAGATGATGACCCTTTTGGCTCCACCCTTCAAGTGAGCCCCAGCCTTCTCCAAAGTCATGAAGACACCAGTGGACTCCACGACATACTCAGCACCAGCACCAACCCATTTGATGTTGGCAGGATCTCACTCCTGGAAGATGGTGATGGCATTCCCACTGATGACAAGCTTCCCGTTCTCTGCCTTGACAGTGCCATGGAACTTGCCATGGGTGGAATCATACTGGAACATGTAGACCATGTAGTTGAGGTCAATGAACGGGTCACTGATGGTGACAATATCCACCTTGCCAGAGTTAAAAGCAGCCCTGGTGACCAGGCGCCCAATATGGCCAAATCCATTTACTCCGACTTTCACCACCGTGTCTCAGGGATGCAGCTGGCACTGCGCGAGAGAACGCGGCTGTTTGGAATGGGCAGAAGCAGAGAGCTCACAACTGGTTTTTAATGGATCTCCTTGAGTGCCTCTGTCACTTACAGATTCCCTGACCATTGGAAATGTACTACTGGTATAACAGGAATTACCAAACCCTGGCAAATACCATGAATACAGAGAGCCATATAACTGCCATTATGCAGTAGGGCATAAAAGATGCAGATCCGTGATCAGGGAGTTGCTGGATTAAGAGTCAGAATCTGCTATGTCTCCATACCGTACAAGCCTCTGACTAGCTCTGAATCAGGTGCTGTAGAAATTGCCGACATCATGTCATTTGTTTCTCCTCCAACTATTATCTGTGTTTCTCTGGCCAAATTTCTCATCTGTAAAATGAAGCAGCTGTACTTACACCACAGGAAGGCTGTGAAGAACAAATGTGACTTCATATAATACCTGGCACCAAGGAAAAATTTCTTTTCCCCTATCCAGTCTTGTGCAGACAGGCAGTAAATACTGCAATAATTCAGAAGGAAAATATCACCATGGGATAAGTAAGGAAAAGATTCAAAGAGATCATGGGATTTACAGTTAGCCCTTAAACACACTTTGGAATCTGTACTGATAAAGCAGGTTTTTGCTGAAGGGTGCGGGTGGGATGGCTCACGGAAGGCCTTATGAGAGAGAAGCTGTGGAACTACCAGGCAGCACTTACGCAAGAGTATTCTTCCATAGAATCTTGGGTAAGTGGGTCCAGAATAGGATTTCTTCTTCCTTTTCACCATAATTACCACGTATTTCTTCACTATTACTTCCTCATATTTCAGAAGTATAGAAATCAGCTATCATCCTTCCCTGGTGCTACTCTCAGTGCCATGATAAAGACAGTTACTGACAAAGAGGACCTGTCAAACACATATTCAGAAGATGCAGATGAGATCAAGTCCATAAGTTCCTATTTTTCTGTATACTGTATTATTAGCTACTGTCATCCTTCTTACTCTTTATTTCCCTTCATGGCAGTAAGTGGATGGTTTAATTAGTTATTCTTGACTCTACTAATTTATTTCTCAGATCATGATAATTCACTGAAATTCAATTAAGCAGTAACTCAACTTACAAGAGTAGCTGCACCTGCCAACATTTAGTTAAGGTGAACAAAGCAGGCAAATGGTGGAAAGGTATCAGTACCAGCCTGCACTCCACCAGAGAAACAATGTTATTGTTTAACACAGGAAAAAAAAAAAAAAGAAAGAAAATGGGGGAAAAGACTGCTATTCTGCAACCTACAAAAATGTAAAGACCACATTATTTCTAAAAACTAAACCTATTCTAGAATTTTAAGTAATCATTAATAAAATAAAAGACAAAGCAATGTCAGTTAAAAAGTTAAAAAGCATAAATATATAAGGGTGCTTCAAAAAGNTTCACATATATTTCAAGCTCCTAAAAAGTTGCAAACCAGGTAAAAGTTATGGTGTCAAACTACAGTCATCCCTCAGTATATTCAGGGGATTGATTCCAAGACCCCCAACACATATGAAAATCTGTGGATATTCAAGTCCCGCTGCTGGCCCTGCCAAATCTGGATATATGAAAAGTTTGCCCTCCCTATACACAAGTTCCACATCCAGTAAGTACTCTATTTTCAATCCTTGGTGGGTTGGAAAAAATCTGAGAATAAGTGGACTTGCACGGTTCAAACCTGTCTTCTTGAAGGGTCAACTTTACTTTTGCTGCATGTTATAAAATCAGTTAGGAGTTCCTACAGTAAAGATTTGAGCCCAAACAAAATAGTCCCAGCATGTAATGTAGCACTGAAAATTCAATACTCAATTCACCTTTGAGTCTCAGTCTCATGCCCCTTTATTCCCTGTAAAAGTATCATCAGCTAGAGAGTTAGTACTTATTGGATCAAGATTTTTTTTTAGGAGTTACGGCAACCTTGAAGGTAGCCACCTGTCTGCTGCTGTATAGCAGTGTTCTTGTTTAGAAGGCCAGTGTTAAATCTCAAAGGAGAAAGGCTTCTCCTCTGACCCAGAGTGAGTTCTACAGTCCACAGCTAGAAATCTGGAAAGGGTGGGGACATTTTTAAAATCCACTGGAGTAAATTTAGATCATACATACTAAATCTGTTCCTTAATTTATAAGTGACATATATTGCTTTCTGAGTATTAAGTTAAAAGTTTCCAGTCGGGCCGGCCCGGTGGCGCACTGCTACAGTGCGCCACTTGGGAGCGCGGCAGCGCTCCCGC